CCAGTCCTGGAGTCTGGGGAAGGCTCTGACGAGTGCTCTGCATTGGACGCAGACCTGAGTCTGGGGCCGTCTGACAGTTATCAGTGGAGTCAGACATCAGTGAGGCAGAAGAACAGCTGGAGCCTGTTCCCAGTGTGTAATGCACAGAGTTGCCAGATGAAGGGAACAGCTGAGGAACAAGGGCCTGACTTGGGAGGAAAGCCACAGGTGGACGGTGAATGGCCCCCTCCCATAGGGAATAAAAGAGGAGCAAAGGGGGACTGGGGTTTAGTTCATTCCGGCATGCTTGCCAAGTATTGCAGTGTCGGAAAGATATCGGCCTGGCCACTCCCCAAGCCTGATAAAGATTTGTAACTGTGAACTATTTTGAAAGACTGTTAGCCGGAACTTTGTTGGAGAGTAAAACAAATAAAAGGGGTTTATCAGGACGAGGACTTGGCCTCGTGCTGTTGGGGTCAGAACAGTGACAGAGGAAAGCTTATCAAACAGTGATCTAACCTCCTGACCCGATAGCCGTCTTCCAATATTTGAGGGGCTGCCCCAGAGAGGAAGGGGTCAAGCTATTTTCCAAGGCACCTGAAGGCCAGACAAGGAACAATGGATGGAAACTGAACAAGGAGAGGTTCAACCTGGAAATAAGGAGAAACTTTCTGACAGTGAGACCGATTAACCAGTGGAACAGTTTTGCCCTTAGATGTTGTGGGAGCGTCATCACTTGAGACTTGCAAGAAGAGACTGGAGTCCTATCTGTCAGAAATGGTGTAGCGTCTTCTGCTTGGGCAGGGGGTTGGACTAGATGACCTACAAGGTCCCTTCCAGCTCTGTTAATTTGTTAAAGCAGAAGGGATCAATCTATTCTCCAAAACACCTGAAGGCAGAACAAGTTCAATCTATTCTCCAAAACACCTGAAGGCAGAACAAAAAGCAATGGAGAGAAATTAAGGAGAGAAGCAAGCTAGAAATAAGGAGAAGTTTCCTAATAGTTAAACAATGAACCGGTGGAACGGCTTGCCTTCAGAAGTTGTGGGTGCTCCAACACTGGAGGTTTTTAAGAAGAGACTGGACAACCAATTTGTCTGAAATGGTATAGGGTTTCCTGCTTGAACAGGGGGTTGGACTAGAAGACCTCTAAGGTCCCTTCCGACCCTGTTCTGTTCTCGTTGAGCAGCAGGTTGAAGTAGATAAAGACCTACAAGGCCATCTCTGATATTCTATATTTTGTATTCTGCTGGCTTAAACTACTTGGGAAATTCTTCCAAGAGTCCCATCGGGCCTCTCTGTTAATCATAACAGATAACAGATAATCAAGAGTTTGAAGGGACCTTGTAGGTCATCTAGTCCAACCCCTTGCCCAAGCAGGAGACCCTACACCAGTGGTGGCTAACCTTTTTGGGCTCCTGTGCCAAAAAATGTGCGCGCGCTTGTGCACGAGCACTCGCCAGCACCCAGAAGGCAATGTGTGCACCCCCCCCCCACGCCCCCTGCACATGCACGTACAATCTCTCTCCGCCCTCTTACCTGCACTGCGCCTCCCAGATGATTTTTGGCCCATTTCAGGCCTTTTTCGGCCTCCCGGGGGCTTGAGGAAAGCTTCTGCAGCCTTTGCAGGCCGAAAAATGAGCCTGTTTCATCACTTCCGGTCTTTCCGGAAATACAGAAAGTGACAAAACGGGCCTATTTTTCGGCCTGCTAAGGCTTTCCTCAAGCCTCCAGGAGGCTGAAAAAAGGCCTCAAAAGGCCCCAAATCAGCTGGGAAACACGCACATGTGCCGTGAGGTAAGTTTGCCCGTGGCTTGCGTGCCGGCACAAATGGCTCTGCGTGCCACCTTGTGGCACGCCTGCCATAGGTTCACCATCACGGCCCTACACCATTTCTGACAGATAACTGTAAACTATATTGAGGGAGAAGTGCCTTTGACGGATGGATTCTATAGAAATTCTGTAGAAAACCGAGGGAGCACAAGTGGCTGAATCCATCTAAAACCTTAGCTGCTCTAAGGAGGCTTTCGTTTTTGAAAGAGATGTCACTCATTAACTTGGGGGAAACTATACTCAAAAGTCCCAGGTGGGTAACTATGGCCTCTTTTCGACCTGTGGACTTCAATTCCCAGAATTCCTGAGCCAGCCATTTTTGGCCCAAGGTCTTTTTTAAAGAGGCTCTAGTAAAATTGTCCACCCCTGCTCAAAGTTCATCTTTGTTTTATTGCAATCATCAAGCCACCAAGGCCTTGAACCGCTGGCAACAGGCTCCCCAAGTTGGATATTGTCCAGGGGCATTACATTTCCATTTTCCTGGACTCTAATCTGCTCGGGGTGGATTCTTTAAAGGGAGAAGGAAATTTGGAGAAGATTCGCATGTGCCAGAGGTGAGGAACGATGGCCCCTTTAAGACTTCTGGACCTCAACTGGCCCCCAAACTTGGCAACTTTGAGACTTGTGGACGAATAGAATAGAATAGAATAGAATAGAATAGAATAGAATAGAATAGA